TTAGACTTTTCTAGCCACCCATGTTTGTTGCATCATCATCCCCGGAAGCTGCATCATCCGTTGACGACTCCAATATCATCACAGAATCATCTTCATCGTCTTCGTCTTCCTTTAAACCTTGAGTTCTTCTTTCAGCTTGATCCCAATCTTTCTTACAAACACAAATTTGAATGCTTTCCGGAGTTAAGTGAGCTCTCTTTTCATCTAATACTCTTCTACTTGCACTAAAAGTAGACTCAGAAGCAACAGGTGAAGCGGGAACTGCAAGTATATCTTTTGCAATTCTTGCCAATATAGGAAAGCTTTTTTTATGTTCTTGCCACCATTTTATAATTTGAAAGTTGTTGTTGGTCTCACGTTGATATGACAAATAATCATTAATAGCAAGTGTTGAAGAAGATGATGATGATGAGAATGATGTAGATGCTTTGTGTTTTTTTTTCATAACTTTATCAAGAAAACCAAATCTAGAATCGAAAGTGCTAGTAGTAGTTGGTGTTGCTAAATTACAACTATAAATAGATGCATAATGATCATAAAGGTCTCCCAAAACAGATTTGCATTTGTTAATATATTCACTAACATCATAATCGATACTTAAACTTGTATAATAAAATTCTAAAAGATTTTCCAAACCTTCAGCTTTGACACCGGGGTCAAGAATAACAACAATTCCATAAATGATTGGAAATTCACTAAAATAAGTATGCCACTTACGTTTCATGCTATCAAGAACGGGACGAAGTCCATCAATCATCATATGCTCTTTGATGGTGTGAACAACTTTAACACACTCAATTATGACTAAATGAATGTTAGGCTCATAAATATAAGAGAAAATATGAGTTGCATTATAAAAAGCATTTAAAACATCACGAACAAATGAAGCATTAGTCCAATGACTTTCGGTTATTAACTCAGTATGATCAACACAAGTCTCATTGTAAAGTTGGGTCAAAATGTCACGATACTTTATAGCATCACTCAACAACTTGAAGTAGAATTCCAACGGGTAGGGGTATCATTAGACCTATTTTCTTAAGACCTCTCTCTTTACACATAGCTATGAACTTTCTTCTAACTGACTGAGTAATCCTAATCCATTTTATAATAGTTCTAATTGGGTTTAGCAATGGTTGCAACTCAACGAGACCTTCTTGAACAGAAAATTTCAAAATATGAGCACAACATCTAACATGCAAGAGACTACCACCTAACAACAAATGCAACTCGGAGTCATTTTTCAAATAGTCAATACACTTTGTGTTTGCAGTTGCATTATCAAGAGACAAAGAAAAAACTTTATTATTCAGGTAAAATTCTTTTAAACAATCCAAAATACGAACTTTGATGTTAGAACCGGTATGCCTTTCTTCCATAGCTTGAAAACATAGTATACGTTTTTTAATAAACCAATCATCATCCACCTAATGAGCAGTAATGCAAAGAAAAGGTTCGCCAAAACTAGAAGTCCATGTATCACTTTTAAAACTAACACGACCATCAAAAGTACGAAATAATTCAATCAAACCACTCCTATACTTATAATAAGAAATTTGTGTATAACGTCTTAGGGTATTTCGGGGGACACGAGTAAATGCAGGTTGTAATGCAACTTTATTAAAATGCTCAACGTTTGCATTTTCACCGTAGCTAAAAGGGCATTCATTAGTAATAACTAAAGTACTCATTTCATCAATCATTCTATCTTTATTATAAATGAAAGGCGTACCTCCGCCGGTAAATGGTTCATGTATCCACCCAATTGTGTTTGGACGGGCAACCCACCCCTCGAAGGACGGGGGCCATTTTCGAACAAGACGTGTTTATTTTGCAAATGCCGACTCAAGGTTCCGGTTCCAGTTCCATATCCCGTTTTCCAACTATATGACTTGACATTTGCACCTAGCGCCTTGCAAACTAGGCATGTACACGTGAACCTCTTTGGTTGACCGGGTTGCCATCCCGGGGGTGTGACCTCAACTCGTTCAAAATGTTTCCACACCCAAGAAAATTGTGCTCGACCTCTACTTTCACTGTCACCGCCTTTCATAAATCAAATTATTGAAATTAATTTTTAAACGCTATTCATGAAAATAAGCTTTTAAATTTTAAATTTTTTAATTACTATTATTTAAACGCATTTTTCATGGTAATTATAAATCATAGAAAATTGGAAACTAAACTAACTTTATAATCATTAATTTAAATATTCATAACAATAAAAATTATATTAGAAATTACCTTGAGATGAAGGTTGAGATGTTCGTTGTGATGTTGGTTGCGATGGAGGTGGCATAGTTGAACTCGATGATTGGTGAGAGAAATGCTGTGTTGGAGACGTTTGAATATTTTGCCCATCTCCTAAACCATAATATCCATATTCATTGACAAATTGGTTTAAATTTTCCGGATTAATTTCATAAGAAAAATTTGCACCACCTCTCCTTTGGCCACCACTTCGACTACCACTCTATATAACACTAAATAACACTTGAGAATTTGAGAACAGATAAGAATTTTTGAGTAAGAGAGAAAGAAAGCTTGAGTTGTGTGGAAATTTGAGTGAAATGGAATTGGTATTTATAGGAAAAATTTAGGGGATGATCATACAAGCAAAAACTAGCCAGTACAATACAAAAAAACTAGCTGTTAGCTTTGAAAAATAGCTGTTAAGCTAGGCGGTCCGTGCGGGTTGGGCGGGTCGTGCGAGTTGGGCGTGTTGGGTTGGTTGGGTGGGCCATGCGGGTTAGGTGGATCGTGCGTGCGGGTGGGCTAAGTCGTGGGCCGTGCGGGTTGGGCGTGCAGGGTGGGCTGGGTTGTGTGAGGTGGGTCAGGTTAGATGGGTTCACGGGCTAGGTGTGCCGAATTAAATGGGTCAAAACGGGTTGTGCGAGTTGGGTCGAATCAAACGGGTTAAAACCAGCTGGGTTCAAATGGGTTGTGCCGAAAATTTTGGACCCACGACACAACCCGGGTTAAATCTGGGCTGTGCCGGGTTGGTACCGGGTTGAAACCGGGTCGAAACCACGTGACCTAGGGTTGAGCAAAATTATCCGAAAAACCGAAAACCCGAAAATCCAAACCGTAACTGAACCGAAAATTAGGGTACCCGTTTCGATAATCATAACGGTTCGGGTATCCGATCCGATAATTTGTTATCGGGTACGGTTATTGGGTATTATTTTAAAATTAACGGTTACCTGATCCGTTTCGATAAGCAATTTTTACATTTTTTATTTTCCTACTTAAATCTATTTATCCAAAATCTAAACTCTTACTTTACTTCGTAATCACTTCATAATTTAAATGATTAGTAATTATTAGTAATTTGGTCATGACTATGTGGTATTATTGTTGATTAGTGTTGAATGATATCATAATAACTATATTATAAAGTCTAAATTTTTATTATTAGACATCATATTGGGTACCCGATAACCGAACCGAAAATCCGGGTACTCGAATTTTGGGTACCCGAACTTATTGGTTCGGGTAATGGATATCATTTTTAGTGTTATTGGTTATCGGGTACTCGAACCGATAGGGTTAATGATACGGGTACCCGTTCCATGCTCACCCCTAACGTGACCCACCAGCCGTGCGGGTTAGGGTGGGCTGGGTTGGCCACCTCTAGTGAGATTCCTTCCCTTATTTAGATGGCGACAAGTGTACGGCCAATGTGGATTGGTCTTTACAAGCCACTTAGGCCTCGCTATTGGGCTAGCGGTATTTTGGCTGCATATATCGGCCTAATGGGCACACCAATTATAACAAATCTAATGCTTATCAAAATGTATCTAACATGTTTACACATGATCGTATAATTTACTAATTGGAATCGATGCAACCTTAAAATCATTCAGGGTTGATACTTGTACGTGGTAATCCCTCCGTAACGTAAAATTTGTAATAATTGACTTTTTACGCATTTTAAGGAAGAGATTTAACAAAGTAAATGAGCAAATTAATCAAAGTAATTTTAACACAATAAACTTATCATCCTATTCTTTATTGTGTTAAAATTATTTTGACTAATTTGCTCGTTTACATTGTTAAACCTCTTCCTTAAAATGCGTGAAAAGTCGATTGTTGTGAGTTTTGCATTACGGAGGAAGTATCAAACTGTTACATAATTAAAATTGAACCAAATTGTTATCAATCTATAATGTAATTAAACCCGAATTGAAATCAACCCAAATTGAAACCAATCGCTGTCAAAGTATTTGCTAATAGAAATAATCTTTATTTGTTTGACTTACTTCTTCAAGATCTCCTATATAATTGCATAATGTACTTTATTAATCTAGCTTTATATGGGAAACATGTATGTTTACTTGAAATTATCTCTAAGGCAAATTCGTCATTTAGAATGCACTCCACACATAAACTGAAAAACTTGAAAAGACCTAATATGAAGACACAAACCGATCAAGAATATTATTGGATAATAAATTAAATCATTCGAAAACATGATCAATATAGCAAGACGCGACATTATAATCAAGTCCGAAGATAACTCGATTACAAACCGTCCGTTGGCGTTAACCCACACAATCCCAAACCGCTTTGGACTGAATTGATTTCGTCCCGCCCGCTAAAGATAGGAACCCAAACTGAACTGTTCCCGAAAAGAACCAAATTGTTTTGGCCTGCCATCAAAATTGGCCTGAACTGAACTGAATTGGACTGTTCAATCAAAATAACTCGTTAGAACCTGAAACGAAATGAACTGAACCTGTTTGGGTAACCCAAAAATATCCCGATAACCCAAATTACCCATAGTCCGTATTCGTATTCGTTTTTTTTCCCCCCCGACCCTAACTCGTTGCAACCTAAGTTTCATCTAACCTTCTAAAGACTGAAAAAACAGAAAAATCTTGTCCAATAACAAGTATGAGTGTGACACGGGAACACTTTTGCTAAATTGCTACCACCCAAATGGGGGTCCACTCTTTAGTATAGCATAATTATTCATGGTTGATACTATAAGTTGTGTTTATCTTTGACACTACAACAACAACAAAAAAAATAGACAAAGTGCATAGTTCTCAAGCAACAGCAAAAGAAAAATGGGAAAAGTGAAGGTATTTGGGGCATGGGTTAGTCCGTTCAGTATGCGAGTGAAAGTAGCACTACAAATGAAGGGAGTTGAGTATGATTACGTTGAGGAAGATCTACTCAACAAAAGTGAAGACCTTCTAAACTACAATCCTATTCACAACAAGGTTCCCGTCATGCTTATTGATGGCAAGCCGATTGCGGAGTCATTGGTGATCATGGACTACATTGATGAGGCTTGGACCCATAACCCCATCTTGCCTAGTGATCCTTATGAGAGAGCTCGAGCTCGTTTTTGGGCTAAGTTTATTGATGATACGGTAATCATTTACTCACATGTCACAACTCTTGAATTCTATATTTGATCAATTTTTTTATTTTATTATTTGAAGCAATTTATTTTGTTGTCAATTATGTGCTCATATATACTGTGTATTACAGACTTGAGTATAGATCGAATATTTTATTTGAATTCAATTTTTAGATTTGGTAATTAAGATGGGAATATTTATTTATTTAAGAATTTATAATTTATATTAAATGAAACTAAAGTCCTTTGGACATCAGACAAATTTCAATTAAACCAAAAGCCACAGAAATGGGAAAAGTGAAACTAAATGGGTTATATGGGCAAGTGAATTGGAGCTGACTAGTTTATTATTATTATTATGTAATGGAAGATCTGCAAAACAAGAGTGAAGAACTTATCAATTACAAGTCTAATTCACAAGCTATTATAAATAGCCCCTATTTGTTTATGATTCCTCGTCCCATACCTACCTAGACCCATTGCACCGCGTCTCAAGTATCGGACCCAAACCATTATAAATGAGGCGGGTCTATATGGGTCATATTGTTATGTCACCTATATGGCTATATATTGAAGTTTGTGCTCACATTGTTGCAGCTGTTTCCCCAATTAATAGTTGTATTCATGAGTCATGGAGAAGAGAGTGAAAAGGCAACAAAAGAAGTGGATGAGCTTCTTACCATTTTCGAAAAAGAGCTTAATGGAAAAAAGTTCTTTGGAGGGGACAACATTGGATTCTTAGACATTGTTGCTTCAATCTTAGCGATTTGGATCCCATGCTCGCAAGTAGTCATTGGCAAAGAGTTGATCGCGAGGGCGAAGCATCCATGGGTTTATACTTGGGCTGATCATCTCTTACAATGCACTGTTATCAAACAAAATATGCCCGATCAACACAAATTGGAAGCATACTATCAAGCTCGCTTTGCCAGTATGAATATCAAAGTTGACCAATCAGAATAACTTAATCGAGTTGCTATATTGTTTTGTAATGTATACATTTCAATTTCTAAACTAATGCCTTTTACTCTTATTTGCTTCTTTAATCTTCATATCATTTTGGTGATAAAAAATGTTTTCTTCAATTAGTAGTTATGCCAAACTCATTATTCTAACGGATTTGCCATCTCATTTAATCGCTTAAACGCCATTTTCTTGTACGTGTTTTTGTCATTCAAGTAAGTGTATATAGACTTCCTTTACAAGTAAGTATTCAAAATAGGTTTCGGTTTGAATTGGCTGAAAATATGTTTTAACTTTCAATGAAAAGCAGGTTAGAAATGAAGCATTGGTTCACTTCAGTTTTGGGTTTGCTTCAAAAGAAGCACTTGTTCCACATGAAAAGAATAAATGAGGTGAAACCCACATTAAAAAAACCAAAAAGAGGACTCTTTTGAAACTCATATGGAAAGAATAACAAAGTTTTGTTTTCTTTCTTTCAATAAAAAGGAGTTTTTGGCCTTGTTCCAAACACACACAAAAATTATTCCTCTTCTCCCAAAAACATCAAACACAGTTTTTCGTTTTCACCTTTTGGCATTGTTCATATATACAAAGAAGACTTTGCTTCATCACTTGATACTTGATAGCTGATATTAATCTTGGATACAAAACAGAAAACAGAGACGGCAACATCAGAAGAAGAATGGGAGAAGTGAAATTATATAGGGCATGGGCTAGTTCCTTCAGTATGCGAGTGGAAGTGGCGCTGAAAATGAAGGGAGTCAAGTATGAATATGTCGAGGAAGATCTGCTGAACAAGAGCGATGAGCTTCTCCAGTACAATCCTATTCACAAGAAGATACCTGTCATGGTTGTTGATGGAAAGCCAATCGCCGAGTCGTTGGTGATCATGGAGTACATTGATGAAACTTGGAAGGGGGTCCCCACATCTTGCCTAGTCATCCTTATGACAGAGCTCGAGCTCGTTTTTGGTCTAAGTTTGTTGATGATAAGGTTAGTTTTACAATGTTCGTTCAGAGAAAACTATTATGCCGCAATGTTGAGTACTTGAGTTAAGTGCAACCGTAGTTGCAAAATTTGCAATTTGCCAAATTTCCATTAGTCTTTTATTTTTGTAAGTATAATTAATAGGCAAATTTGCCAAAAAAAATCTTTTCAAAGGTCAATTTTGCAGGAAAAAACCTTCTAATTTTTTTTGTAACAACCTAAAAAAATTATTTGCGAGATGAAACCACACCCTATTTCTTCGGTGTTGACTTTATGTTACTGGCATTATTGCACTCAAATTTCCAATAGTTTAACTCTTTTATTTTACCTCATTTCATTTCTAAGCTACAATTTTTTTCCAGATATTGCCTCAATTGAAACCTGCCTTCATGAGCAATGATGGAGAACAAAGCACAAAGGCAATAAAAGAACTAGATGATCTTCTAACAATCCTCGAAAACGAGATCAAAGGAAAGAAGTTCTTCGGAGGAAACAACATTGGATTCGTGGACATTGTTGCGTCGGTTGTGGTTATTTGGATCCCATGCTGGCAAGCAGTCACAGGCAAAGAGGTGCTTACAAGGGAGAAGTTTCCATCGATATACAGTTGGGCTGATGAGCTATTAGAATGCAGTGTTATCAAACAAAACATGCCCGATCAAGAGAAATTGCAAGCATTCTATCGAGATCGCTTTGCCCTTATGAATGCCAAGACTACCGATTAAAAACATCTTGCTACTATAAGTTTGATCAACAACGTTAACACAGTAATGCGACCAACACATTTACTTTGATCTTAATTGACAAGATAGAGTGGCGACAAAAATTCCATGCTTTCTCATTAATAACACAGGGTATACATAGCCTTGTGTTTTTTGGTGTGCTAGTTGTTTACAATCACTATTATAAGTTTTCCAGTTGTATGACATTACTATTAGAATGAAGATAAGTAAGTACATAAGATTATTGTTGAATGATGTAGTAGTGTGTGTGATGTATGATGTAGAACAAGCACCGTTGTTTTTGTTATTTGGCTTGTCATGTCATGTGCTTTTTAACGTGGTCATGTGTCGCTATTGTATATAATCCTAGGTTGATACTCTAGATATTTTGGTGGGTTGTGCCGCCATATAAATAGTAGTTTTTATTGTTGTTTTTCTCAAGAGAGAAAGCACAAAATATCTTAGAATGTAATGAAGAAAAGCATTGAATGAATGAACAGACATGGAAGAAATTATGTGCTCCTGCTAGTGTTGTGCATGTAATCTGAGACTTTGCTTGTGACTCTTTTCATGGTATCAGAGCCAAGTTACGAAACCTAAATCTTCTTTGCAAAGTTTCAATCTTTTTCTGCATTTTTATTACTATTGTGCTGCTGTGTGTGTGTGTAGCAATAGGCCAGTAGCAAATGCAAATCATATTTTTTCTGTTAAATTTAACAGCCTTGTCAGTATTGTGTAGCTGATATAAAGAATATGACTCTTTAAAGGACTTTCCATTATTAACTAAGATGAATACAGGGATGACTGCCTTTGTTAAAGCTATGAGAAAAGAAGAAGAAGATCAAAACCTTTTTCAATTTTTAAATGGTCTAAGTGAGCAATTTGGAACTTTGAGAAGTCACGTCTTAATGCTGACACCATTACCTTCTGTGGAGGCTGCTTGTGGGATGTTCCAGCAAGAAGAGTCTCAACAGGAGATCTTTACTCTTCCCAAGAAGGAACAAGATGTTTTTGCAATGTATGAAAGTAAAATTGAGATGAAATGCACAAATTGTGGCAAAATTGGGCATACAATTGAGAAATGTTGGGCATGCAAGGTATGTGGAAAATTAGGGCACACATACTGCTGACAATTGTGGGCATGTAAAAGGATTTTCTAACAAAGGAAATAGAGCAAGTATAGATACAAGAGCAAAAGGAAGAGACACTACAAGAATCCGAGCTATTGGCGGTAGGTAAATGGCCCAAAAACAATAGGTAACAGCGTACCTACCGCTATGCGGTAGGTATTCGTTGGTAGGTGTAGCGTAGGTCGGTAATGTCAAATTTACCTACTGTACTACGGTAGGTAATTTAACCTACCGCCTTTTTGCATGTTTACCTACCGCATACGCGGTTGGTAATTTTACCTACTGCTTTCAACGGCGGTTGGTACAATTACCTATCGCACACTAGCAGTAGGTAATTACCTACCGATTTGTACCTACTGTAAGCAGTAGGTAATTTTACCTACCACTATTGTAGTAGGTTATTTTTGTTGTCAGTAGGTAATTTACCTACCAACTTTGTAGTAGTTATGTTATTTTTGTCGGTAGGTATTTGTGTCGAAAATTTAAAACAATAATAATAATAATAATAATAATAATAATAATAATAATAATGATAATAATAATAATAATAATAATAATAGTTTCTCTCGGTTTAGGGGCGATTAGGGCTGGGTTGGGTAGGTTCCACGTCATTTTTCCTACGATTAGGACTGCTTTTCGTGCATGATCAGGGCCTCGGTGGTTGTGCGTTCAGGTCAGGCATTTTTCAGGTGTTTCGGGTGCAGTATTGGGGAGAAATTCAAGTGGATTCGGGCTTATTTGGTGTAGTCTTGAAGGGCGGTTTTCAGGCTTCTTTCCTGTGTTTTCTAGGCAAAAGGCGGCTTTCAGGCTTCTTTGCAGTGATTTCCCGGCGACGGTTTGTTTGGACAGATTGGCTTTGTTCTTGGGCTGTTTACAGGCAGTTTATGGTGTGTTTCGGGTTGTTTTGGGCGAGTTTTAGACCTGTTTTCAGCACTCGTTTCAAGTGGTATTCTGGTTAATTTCAAGACAAATTACTGCTCCGATTTTCTGGCTGCTTTATGGTCGTTTTTCTGCTGGCGTTCTATTCAGTTTCTCGGCTTTTCGTAGTGTTGTTTCCGGCAGCGGTGAGGTAAAGCTTCCGATCACGTTTGTGTCCTTTATCAGCCGTATTTTTCTGGTGTTTTCGGTGTAGGTTTTGCCGTATATTGGGGGTGTTTTTTAGGCTTCTATTTCTGCCATTTCTCAAGGGTTTTGGGTGTAGTTTTGGGTGAAATTTTGGTGCAGTTTTGGGTGCATTTTGGGGTGTAGTTTTGGTGCAGTTTTGGGTGTATATTGGGGGTGTTTTGGTGTTGGTTGTTGTGTCTTGGTTTTATTGGTGTTTCATGCGGCTGGTTTTTGCTGTAGTTTTTGGTGGTTGTGTGTAGCTATGTCAACTGCCGTTGTAAAGTTTCATTGTCCCTTTGTGGGTCTTAGTGGTTGTCAAGATGGAAGTGGAAATGGCCTTACTAGAAGTTCTCTTATAAAGCATTTTTTTATCGTCATTGTTGTATTGGTGCGCGAGATATGACACGACATTCTCTTACTTCTAATTTGGCTGTTTATAATGAGGCTGAAGTTACTTTTTCGCGTATGGGGATTTGGTTATGTGGAGTTTTCTACATAATGCATACGCATCGTACTAAGTGCCGTCATAGTACGAGTGAGTTTGTGTCACCCCCGGATGAAGGAGATAGTGTCGTTCGTTTTGTCCTTTATGGTTTCTCCAAGCCACAAGCTCCCTCTTCTCCTCCTCAGCTCGGGCGCATGGGTGATTTGGTGCAAGATCAACATTGTGGTTTTGATGTGGCTCTCCTTGATGGTTTGTTCTCTAGGGGGTTTCACACTGTGAAGTCTATCCCTCCCAAGTGTCGTTTGGGGTTTTCTTGGGTTTTGAAAGGTGCTCTTGATAAGGTGATCTCTAAGCCTGATGACATTTCTAATTGGGTCTGTTTGTTGGTGTTACCTCTTTGCACCCTTAAAACCTTTTGCCCACGGAGTAGTCGTGAGTCTCGGTCTTCAGTGAAACGTCGGCATTAGGAAGAGAGTATTTCCCGTGCTATTTGTTCTTGGAGTACACCAGGTGGTAGTTTGCAGCTTGTGAAGGAAACTCTGGCAGAGGATTCTCCCACTTTGTTGGTCGTTGTTAAATGAGGACCTTGATTTGGAAGAGCGTAATATCATGTAGTGTCGTAGGAAGATATGCGATGGTCATTACACCGCGGCATTTCGGGTTCTTTCTTCTTCAGGCGTTGCTCCTTATAACCAGGCCACTCTTGCGGATTTACAGTTAAAACACCCTTCTTC